ATTCAATATTTGTTACAATCTTCCTCATTTTGTACTAAATTTGCTGAAGTATATCCCGACTTTGCTGATAAATGCTGCGTTTCTTTGCCTTCTATTTCTCCTAATTTGTCCTCAATTGTTAAAGACCTGCAAACGTTAAGCTCTACTGTCCGAGAGTCACGAGAGTCCTTCCAGTTTTGGTCATGGCTCGATTGGCTTGGCCTTGCGCCCTACAAATCCTATTTCCAATCCCTGTTTGTGTCCCTTCTAGTTGGGCTCGCTCTTCTCTGTCTCGGATGTGCCTTCATTAAAGCCTGCATTCGCAAGTTTGTTGCCTCGGCCTACATCGCTTCCACCCCCGAAGCGCATCCCCTCGTAGGTGGGGATGAGGAGTCGGACTCGGAAGTTTAGGTTTTCGGCCTAACTATTGCGGCCAGGGCACGGGGGCATGTTGAGATGAGTTCCTGTCTGCATCCTGTAAAACTTGCCCATACCGGTATTGCCCTGGCCTCTTCTTTTGTCATTCAGTGTTGCACGCATTCTAAAGCAATATGCATTTCCTCACCTTTTGGGGGCGAAGCCAGACTTTGAGGCACCTGCTCCCCTACTTGGTGTAAACTTTGCTTGTGCCAATCAGAAACGAACACAAACAGGTTTTGGGCCCCGTCCCCTATGACACTTCTATGATGTCATAGTTGGTACTTTATGGGCTGCCTGCCATGTGCAGGCAGGGAGAGGAGAAAGAAAAACGAATCCTGTGTATCCTGTGTACACCCGTAACCGAGCCTGATCACCTCGAAGCCTCTCTCTCAGCTCACGTGTTTCAAACAGAGTTTCTACGTTTGCCGGTCGTTATGCGTTGGTTTGTATTTGTAAGTATCAGTTATTACTAATTGCTGCATCTTTGTTTATAAATATTGTTAGTAGATATTTTAGTCATTGTGTGTTTTAAGTTTCATTAACTCTATTAGCTAATCAAACGCTGCTCCCTTACCCCTTGTAATTATCCCCAATAAAACTTTAAATTGATTAATTTTAGTTGTGTGTGTGTGTGTGTCTGCAGTTTGCAGCGTGACCCATACTCTCTTTGCATCCCTTACCAATATAGTCTATTGCCACGTGCAACCTGGTAAATAATAGGCCTGCATTTTCTTTCGCCCCTTGCATCCCTTACCAATATAGTCTATTGCCACGTGCAACCTGGTAAATAACAGGCCTGCATTTTCTTTCGCCCCTGCGTGCCCGTGGCAATCCACAGCGCGAAACTTCCTTGCACCGGCCCTGCTTATCCCCCACTGAACTGTGCCTTCTTGGGAGGTGGAATTGCTTCCTGACTGCTCAGAAGACGTAACACTTGGAAAAGAGAAACTGCTTCCTTTGCAAATTAAGTAGTTTGCTTTGGAAGCTTGCAAAATGTGGTTATTTTCTCTTTAAAGCCCTTCCCACAATGGCAGTGTTCTCGTGACCATCTTTCTTCTTCCGCCTTGATTTCTTGGTCACTTAATCTGGTCTATCTATGGATTATGAGCCTGAGTGATAGGAGGGATAATATTGTTGTCCACAACTATGAAGCCGAGTAAGAAAAGAGAATTTGATAAGAAAAATAAGGAACTCAGTTTTGGTTGTGTTAAGATGAGCCGGCAATAGGCCATCCATGACATTTGGGTCCAACCAAGTAGTGACCAAAGCAAATCAGCAGTGAATTGTGGAAAACAGACCTTTACATCCCCTAATACTGATTTTTCTGAGGGTTAGTCTGGCCCCTCACATAAATCAGAGCATCCTTGAGGCATCTTTCATTTATGCCAGCTGCCAATAGCCCCTAGGGTCCATTAAAGCATCTGATGCCTTGGCCCCATTTTCCATGACCGTGCCTGTGACGTTGCATTCCATACATTTTATGGAACTATGCTAATGAGTGTGAATATAATGTAACTGGAATATGCTTCATGCAAAAGGTCTCTTGTAAGGTATCATTACAAAGCTTATAATCTACTGAGTGTGTTCAAAATTAATTGTGATTAATCACACTGTTAAACAATAATAAAATACCAATTGAAATTTATTAAATATTTTTGGATGTATTTTTACATTTTCAATATAGATTTCAATTACAACACAGAATACAAAGTGCACAGTGCTCACTTTATATTATTATTTTTTACAAATATTTACACTGTAAAAATGATAAAAGAAATAGTATTTTTTTCAATTCACCTCATACAAGTACTAAAGAGCAATCTCTTTATGGTGAAAGTGTAACTTACAAATGCAGATTTTTTTTTTGGTTACATAACTGCACTCAAAAACAAAACAATGAAAAACTTTAGAGCCTACAAGTCCACTCAGTCCTACTTCTTATTCTGCCAATCACAAAGACAAACAAGTTTGTTTACATTTACAGGAGATAATGCTGCCCATTTCTTATTTACAGTGTCACCTGAAAGTGACAAAAGGTGTTTGCATGGCACTTTTGTAGCTGCGGTTGCAAGGTATTTACATGCCAGATATGTTAAACATTAATATGCCTCTTCATGCTTTGGCCGCCATTCCAGAGGACATGCTTCCATGCTGATGATGCTCGTTAAAAAAATATGTGTCAATTAAATTTGTGACTGTACTCCTTGGGAGGAGAATTGTATGTCTCCTGCTCTGTTTTACCCACATTCTGCATATATTTCATGTTATAGCAGTCTTGGAGGATGACCCAGAATATGTTCATTTTAACAATACTTTAACGGCAGATTTGACAAAACGCAAAGAAGGTACTGCTGTGAGATTTCTAAAAATAGCTACAGCACTCAACCCAAGTTTTAAGAATCTGAAGTGCCGTCCAAAATCTGAGAGGGACGAGGTGTGGCGCATGCTTTCAGAAGTCTTAAAAGAGCAACACTCTGATGCGGAAACTACAGAAGCCAAACCACCAAGAAGGAAAATCAACCTTCTGCTGGTGGCATCTGACTCAGATGATGAAAATGAACATGCATCAGTCTGCTCTGCTTTGGATCATTATCAAGCAGAACCCATCATCAGCATGGAAGCATGTCCTCTGGAATGATGGTTGAAGCATGAAGGAACATATGAATCTTTAGCACAGCTGGCATGTAAATATCTTGCAATGCCAGATACAACAGTGCCATGCGAACACGTGTTGTCACTTTCAGGTGACATTGTAAACAAGAAGCAGGTAGCATTATCTCCTGCAAATTGTAACCAACCTTGTTTGTCTGAGTGATTGGCTGACTAAGAAGTAGGACTGAGTAGACTTGTAGGCTCTAAAGTTTTACATTGTTTTATTTTTGAATGCAGGTTTTTTTGTACATAATTTGTAAGTTCAACTTTCATGATAAAGATATTGCACTACAGTACTTGTATGAGGCGAACTGAAAAATAAATTTTTTTTGTTTTTTACAGTGCAAATATTTGTAATAAAAATAAATATAAAGTGAACACTGTACACTTTGTATTCTGTGTTGTAATTGAAATTAATATATTTGAAAATGTAGTAAACATCCAAAAATATTTAAAATAAATGGTATTCTATTGTTTAACAGCTCAATTAATTGCTAAAACGCTCATGGACAATAATAATAGCCTATGAATATTAAGATAATTTGCAAATCCTGCTCACTAAATTCATTATTGTATTGGAACAGAAATCAAAATGAAGAAAATAAACCCACACAATTCCCAATAGTCACAGAGACTATGTTGCACACACAGAAATCACTGCAATTAGAGACATAATTATTTGTCCAACAGAAACAGATTTTTACCATAGCATCATTGTTTATATATATATATATATATAACAATCACTATGAACTATTTCTCAGTCATGAAAGGAAAATGCTTGCCAGAGTAGTGTGTGTGTGTTGGAGAGGGCAGATGATGATGACATGTCATGTGTATGTATTGGAGTGCATAGATAGGGGTGGTGGTGGATTTGTTGGAGTGGGTGAATGTTTATAAATGTAGTTTTGTGTGTTGGAATAGGTAGGTGCTGATAATATGCATGCAAGGAAGGTAGATGGTAGTGTGGGTGTGTGCATTTGTGGGGCGATGACTATGGTGTTTGCATCTGTGAGGTGGTGCTGGTAGGTGGCAGTAATCTATGTGTGTCTATGTAAGTGGTGGCAATCTGTGTGTAGTGGCAGTAGGGAGGGTATGTGGTGGCGTGTGAGGCATCAATGGAATGGTTAGTAAGTGTGGTGTGTGTTTGGGTAGTTGTGGTAGGTTGTGTGTGTTTGTGTATTGGGTATGTAATGATGTGTATGTTTAGTGGTGTTGTGTCATGTCTAGTGGTGATAGAAAGGGTAGCTGGTGATGTATACTGGGGCATGTGTGTGTACAGGTGATAGAATGGGTATGTGTTGGCATGTAGTAGCGGTGCCACATGTAGGGGCAGGGTGTGTGTGTGTGTGATGGTGGTGCTGTGTGTAAGGTCAGGGTGGGTTTGGATGTGGTGCTGTGCCTAGGGACAGGGTGTGTGTGTGGCGGTGGCAGGCACTGTGTGTAGGGGCAGGGTGTGTGCGGTGGTGCTGTGCCTAGGGGTAGTGTGTGTGTGTGTGTGTGTACAGTGGTGCTGTATCTATGGGCAGGGTGTGTGCGTGGCGGTGGCACTGTATGTCGGCACAGGAAGGCTGTAGTGGGGAGCTGGTGCTCGCTCCCGGCTGACGGGGGTCTCTGTGCGCCTACGAGCCGGGCTGGTGCCACAGAGCTTCGGGAGCGGCCGGCCCAGCAGGTCCCACGCCGGGACTGCCAGGCAGGTTGCCGCGGGCGGGAGCTGAACAATGCGGAGCCGGGGAGGGGGCTGAGCTCCTGACGCTCCGCCGAGCGCTCGGGGCCGGGCGGGAAGGACACCCACCTACGTCGCCTTCTGGTGGGGTTTTTCCCCTCCTCCTTTTCGTCGCTGCTGACGCGCCGCTGCCTATTAATCATTCACCAGCCAGAGAGCGGCAATTAACGCCGCTCGGCTCGGCGGCAGCCTCCTCGCTCCCCATGCCAGGCTCGGGCGGGAGACTCCGCCAGCATGCCGAGCCGGGCGGGCGGCCAGCGCCGGCTGCTGTGAGCCCGAGGGAGGGGAGGGCTGGGCTGGGCTGAGGATGCTCCCCAATGGCACCTGCCCCAGGCTCCCGGGCGGTGCAGGTGGAGGCAGCGGCAGTAGCGGCGGCGCGAGCGGAGGGAGCTGCTGTAGCAGCGGCAGCGCCGGCGGGGTCCTGGGGGAGGCAGCGGCGGGGGGCATGGAGGCGGGCGGCAGGAACTCCTCCGGCGCCCCGAACGGCACCCTGAGCGACTCGCAGGGCAGCGCCATCCTCATCTCCTTCATCTACTCCGTGGTGTGCCTGGTGGGGCTGTGCGGCAACTCCATGGTCATCTACGTGATCCTGCGCTACGCCAAGATGAAGACCGCCACCAACATCTACATCCTCAACCTGGCCATCGCCGACGAGCTGCTGATGCTCAGCGTGCCCTTCCTGGTCACCTCCACCCTGCTGCGCCACTGGCCCTTCGGCTCGCTGCTCTGCCGCCTGGTGCTCAGCGTGGACGCCATCAACATGTTCACCAGCATCTACTGCCTGACGGTGCTCAGCGTGGACCGCTACATCGCCGTGGTGCACCCCATCAAGGCGGCCCGCTACCGCCGGCCCAGCGTGGCCAAGATGGTCAACCTGGGCGTCTGGGTGCTCTCCATCCTCATCATCCTGCCCATCATCATCTTCTCCAGCACGGCGCCCAACAGCGACGGCACGGTGGCCTGCAACATGCTCATGCCCGAGCCCACTCACCGGTGGCTGGTGGTCTTCGTGGTCTACACCTTCCTGATGGGCTTCCTGCTGCCCGTGGTGGCCATCTGCCTCTGCTACATCCTCATCATCGCCAAGATGCGCATGGTGGCGCTCAAGGCCGGCTGGCAGCAGCGCAAGCGCTCCGAGCGGAAGATCACCCTCATGGTCATGATGGTGGTGATGGTCTTCGTCATCTGCTGGATGCCCTTCTACATCGTGCAGCTGGTCAACGTCTTCGTGGAGCAGGACGACGCCACCATCAGCCAGCTCTCCGTCATCTTGGGCTACGCCAACAGCTGCGCCAACCCCATCCTCTACGGCTTCCTCTCGGACAACTTCAAGAGGTCCTTCCAGCGGCTCTTGTGCCTCAGCTGGATGGACAACGCCACGGAGGAGCCCGTCGATTACTACGCCACCGCCCTGAAGAGCAGGGCGTACAGCGTGGAGGACTTTCCCCCCGACAACTTGGAGTCGGGGAGCATGTACAGGAACGGCACTTGCACCTCCAGGATTACCACCCTCTGAGGAAGCGCGCAGCAACCTCCCGCTGCCCCCCAGGCGCAGGGCAGCCGGGAGCTGGGGACTGCGGGCGGGTAGGGTGGGGGTGGGGGTTATTATTCTGTTTGGAAACAACAGAGTTGGGCACGAAAAGGAACAACAAAGTGTTCCCTGGCCTTCTGCCCCTCACCCCACCCCCTCTGTATTTCAATTGCGTTGTGTTTGCTGATGCTACTACACCCCTAGTCAATTATTAACTGCGCGCCCCTCAGGTGGACTTTAGGTTCCTCAATCTGTTGCTTCCTCCCCGTTGTGTTTGATCAGCGTGTGTGTGGGTCAGTGAGGTCTCCTGTTGACTTTCTCTGTTTCTTTTTGTACTCGTCTCCTCTCCGCCCCCCTTTGGTTCACTTGCCATTGTGGTGGCACATCGATGTGCTGCTCTTTTCATGGTCGAGTTGCTTGGTGTCTAATTGTTCCACCCCTTTGGAAGGTACACTGTTGACTGCAGACTTTGCCCCTTGGCAGCCATAAAACACGAGGCGATGTTCTGTCAAAAGCTAGGAAATCGCTCAGTTTACATGCCACAATTTAACTCAATCCCTCCTAGCTGAAACCAACACTGACCAGAAAAGGAGACAGGATTTCTGTTCAGAGTAGAACTAGAAAAGGTCCCTTTCCCCCAGCTGCAGGGAAAGAGCAGACAAACCTTCATCCCCACAAGGGAGAGAAAAGCTCCTATAAAAGGGACAGGCAAGCTCATGAAGTCATATTTCAAATAAAACAGAACTACAGATCTCTCTTTCTGTCCGGTAAGAATGTGAAAAGATAAGGGGGGGGGAGAGAGAGAGTTGGGGGACGCAAACCACTAGAATTGAGCTCCATTGAGATTTGGCATTCAGTGGCACTCAAGGGGAAATGGCAATCCCTATGGAAATGGCAACGAAAACCCCTCCTAAGAAAGAAATGCGATTATTTCATTATCTCAGGGCTGCCCAGTAGGCTGCTGATAACAGAGAGATATACACCGCCCCGTGACTCGCATGGAGCAGGGTATTGGACGGGGAGGTGTGCAAATAATGAAGTTTAAAGGGAGCACTAGACTGTGAAGCTATTGTCCTGTGCGTGTTCCGCTCACCTGAAACCAGGGCCGGCTCCAGGCACCAGGCACCCAAGCTGGTGCTTGGGGCGGCACCTGGAGGGGGGCGGCGCGGCGCTCTGGCCGCCGGGGGGGGGGGGGGGGGCCCGGGGCACCGCCGGGGCCGGGGGCCCGCCACCGGCGCTCTGGCCGCCGGGGGGGGGAGAGCCGAGCACCCGCCGGGGCTCGCCACCCTGCCCCCGGCGCTCTGGCCGCCGGGGGGGAGACCGGAGCCGCCGCCGGGGCTCGCCGCCCTCCCCCCGGGGCTCTGGCCGCCCCCCCCGGCGCGGCAAAAAAGCCAGAGCCGGCCCTGCCTGAAACAACCCTACAGGGAATAAAAGAGACGCAAGCTGTGAAGGACAGTCGGTGTGGCCGCTTTTGCAGTTCGAACCACATAGAATAAGAAAAGTTTATTGCAGATCCTTCATCAGGCTTTGAAATACTTATCAGAAACATACAACTGTCTGTTTAATAATAGCTGTTCCCTAGCCCCACTTTGCATCGCTCCTAAACTGAAAGGGGTTTATGTATCAACAGTGTAAGCTACATTCCCTGTGCTTCAATATATGTTTGATTTTGATTGTCTTTATGTGTGTGCTTAATATGTTGTTTGATTTCAGGATTTTGTTTTGTTACTGTGTCATGAAAACGTTCTCTTTGAAGCAGTTTATTCTATGTACTGAAGTCTTGGCGGCCACATACAAGGGGGTGCATTTTAAAAGGGTGATGTTCAAGAAGGCTCCTTCTGGAGAAAAAGATTATAACCTTTTTCTAGGCCTTCTTTTTCCATTGTTTCCCCACAACAATTCTTTTTCCTGTCTTTTCTCACCTTGATCATGCACATTTCAGAATTGAGAATATTTTTCTGATAGAAAAACAGTGCTTTTCTATTGGATAAATGATGGTGGAAAGCAAAATCTAACATTTGTTCCCCCTTTAAAGATTATCCCAACCTAGACATATCAGTAAAGATTATGGTGACACAAGCAATTGTGCTTTCTGTTCTTTATTGCATTCCTTAAAACAGAACTAATGTCAGAGACAGTGGGCTAGCGCACTTTTACCAAATCATCTCTCTAGCACAACACTGTGAATTATAGGAATAACTACTGGAAATAGGAAGCAAAAGGATAAAACCCTAAAAGGCCTGTAAACACTGCCTACTAATTGCTATATTACATGCTGAATCCAAACAGAGTTAATACTTCACTTACTAATGTGTCTAGCTCTTTGGGGGGGCTCAGTATGGTTCCTTGATGAACTGTAGCATGAACTTTTCTTAGGAGCAAAAAGCATCAGGCCATTTTGCAAATCTCTCCCACCAAAACATCAGATATTGTGAAATGAATGTATAAATTCTAGTATCTCAGCAAGGACCTGATCCACAGTCCATTGAAGTGAATGGAAACTCTCTCACTGACTTCAGTGGGTTTTGGCTCATCCCCTTTTGGTTTAAAACATAATTGCTAATGTAGACACTGTTACATCCCTATTAAAACATTTTGTGAAATGCTTTAAAATCTGTATGATTTTATTCCTTTTTACTTTTCAGGGGACCACTTGTTTAAAAAGGACCTGCAAATCATTTTAAAGGTAATTGCTAATTTTACCTTCATTTATAGTAAAAAAAAAAAAGAGAGAGAGAGAGAGAGAAATCTCTCTTACAATCTTCACTAACATTTCACTGAAGACAGGCATTGCATTGTTTAAAACAGACAAAAAACATAGGGTGCCATGTTTACATTTTTAGAGCTTCATTTCAAATCGTGGTTATTGTTTCCTTAAAAAGGTATCAATCTAGTGCTTTTATACTGTTACTTTACCCAGCAATACTGTAATGCAGTGTTAGCTTAATAAACAGATATATTATACAGTACTCTGCAATTTATTGTTTTTCTGCAATTACTAAGTTTTTTTTTTTAAATAGTACAAAATTGCTACTCAGCTTTGATGAGACACTAAGCAAAGGTTGTTTATTTGTTTCCTTTGGCTTCATGCAAAGATATTGGAACCTGCGATACCCATGCACTTAATTCTACAGACATACCAACTTGTGTTCTCTGATTTCAGTTCTCCCAAGCTAAGTAAAGTCAAGCTGTGCTAATACTCGGCTGGGAGACCACCCAGGGTGTTGCAGTATCGGGTGCTTAGTTACACAATAAAAGGTATTCTTTCCTCCTCCTCATTACTGAACTAATTTGTCAGCAGTCAACACGGTGCTAGGTTCACCAGTTAAAGCACTGTGTTGTTCCAGCTGGATACAACATTCTTCACTGCTTGTCCTGAACTAATGTGTGGTGCTGCCATTTTTCACCTTGAATGTGGCTACACGTTGATGGTTAGTGAAGTGATCAAAAGCTATATAGCATTATAGTGTTGCAGCGGAAAGAAAGGTAGTCCAATTGAAGTTATTATTCTAAATAAGTGAGTAACAACTATCTGAGAAAAAAAAAAGATGCCTTCAGGAACTGGTGTGAAATGTATAAGAAAACAGAGTATTATTTCAAATGCTTTGCAAATTCTCAAATAAAATTTGTTAAAATTTCATATAAAAAAGGAACCAAACAACTGTTGTCTTCAGCAACCACTGCAGAAAGCATTTAGCTGAAAAATTTCTCTCCAGCATTCTACATAATTTTATTTATACATAGCCCACTTTACCCACAAAAAGCATAAATACTGTTTACCATCAACAGGGCATTGCTGCATATTTTTTAGTTGTCTAACATATCACAAGTTTCATACTAATTTATATGTTGGCACAGGGTCTGACCCTGCACCATTGACTTCCGTGTGAGTTTTGTCATTGACAGTAGTAGTGCAGGGTAAGGCCCATATAAAATGTGAGTGATGTTTCTCAAAAGCACTTTTAGACTTGATGAAGTGAGTAAGCATGGCCTGTGTTGTCTCATAGATCCACACACAGAGGGGACCCTCTTCACACTGATTTTCTCAGCAGGGGTGTGTACTGGGGGGAGAGTGTCAGACACCTCTGCAGTATTGTCTCCACCCAAATGAGGCTCAGATTAAGACTCTTGTTCCCCACCCCCAAGTAAGTCTCCCCAGGAAATACTATACAACCTAGAGCGGTATCATCTGTGAACTCACATCTGATAGGTCTGAGGGCAACTGCAGCCTGGCACTGTTGGGCTGACAGGAGTCAGAATGGATGCAGAGGCACAAGACATCTAGAGGGGTGACAGGGCCTCTTGTGGATCCTCTAGGCACTATGTGTAATAATGGGTATCCACCAGATTTGGAGTATTTTGTGTATGACTATAAAACCCATTTTCCTGATGGAGCCATAGGGGAGGCACTCCTCTGGGGTGTAGGATCTTAACATAGATTTCCTCCCGCAGCGCCCATCCAATGAATATTTCCACAGAAGGGGCTGAGTTGCCATAGTTTCAATCTTTTGAATATGACACATTCATTTCTGACATGCCATTTCTACAACATACCTCGATAGAACAGAATTTTTTTTAAAAAATCATATTTTAAAAATGGAAAGTCTATATTTCTAATACATGCTATTAATAGTACAACCATGTGCCTGTTTGATATACTGTGGCAAACAGTCTCCAACAACATGCACATTTTAGCTGCAAAGCTTGGGCCAAATCTTGTTCATTTTCCTGAAATCAATTGGCCTCCAGGTGAGTAAGGCAAGCAAGACTTGGCTTTCCAATATCACTTGCCCAATAAAACAAAGCATCATTTAATGGGTACCTTAAAATATCACCACCATAAAAAAGCATCCAAGCCAAAAGAAACAGGAGCAAGGAATTCACTCTGTTTTCCAAAAAGAATCACTGTTTTTCAGCCTCTGTGATTTCCAACCCTACCAGTCTCCAGGGCTCTGCATTTGAGAATGTGAATCATGAATCTCCAAAGGAAAATAAAATATCTCCACAGTATTATCAACATTCTTATGTATCTGGAGACCTGGACCACAAGAAGAAAGAATAATTCAACAATTAGATTTCCCTCTTAGAGCAAAACATTTCAGATTATTATATTTTGGGGATAGGAGTCAAGAAAAATGAGGGAAACAGGAAGCATATCAAAGTACTCCTCTTTACATTAAGTATTATAAACCTAATCAAATGTTCAACATGGGGAAGTTTCAGAGTAGCAGCCGTGTTAGTCTGTATCCTCAAAAAGAACAGGAGTACTTGTGGCACCTTAGAGACTAACAAATTTATTTGAGCATAAGCTTTCGTGGACTACAGCCCACTTCATCGGATGCATAGAATGGAACACACAGAAAGAAGATATTTGTACATACAGAGAACATGAAAAGATGGAAATAGCCATACCAACTGTAAGAGGCCAATCAATTGAGATGAGCTATCATCAGCAGGAGAAAAAAAAACACCTTTGAAGTGATAATCGAGATGACCCATAGAAAGTGTGAGGATACTTAACATGGGGAAATAGATTCAATTAGTGTAATGACCCAACCATTCCCAGTCTCTGTTTAGACCTAAGTTAATTGTATCTAATTTGCATATTAATTCAAGTTCAGCAGTCTCTCTTTAGAGTCTGTTTTTGAAGTTTTTTTGTTGCAAAATTGCCACCTTCAAGTCTGTCACTGTGTGGTTAGAGAGGTTGAAGTGTTCTCCCACTGGTTTTTGAATGTTATGATTCCTGATGTCAGATTTGTGTCCATTTATTCTTTTGTGTAGAGACTGTCCGGTTTGGCCAATGTATATGGCAGAGGGGCATTGCTGGCACATGATGGCATATATCACGTTGGTAGATGTGCAGGTGAACGAGCC